TAAAAGACTTGTTATAGGTAACAATTGACTGTGGTCCATGCAGTCAAGTTATCTCTAATGATTTGATCACTGAAGGCAGTGAAAGTTAACACTCCACGAACATCCATTGAAAAATAATAATCCATAAAAATGGCACGCACGTTAATTGTTAGTGCTTTGATGAATCAGGTTTTCGGTGGCCCCAAAATATAACTCGCAGCATATATCTGTCGAATTTTGCTGAACAAAAATGTTTTATTTTTACTCATAGGCATGCATTAGTGGTTTTATATACCGGGTACATTTTTCACCTTTTCAGATTCCCATTTTAAGTTTAGTCGATCAATTGATTTATAGCCCAATTTGTACTTTTCCCAGAAATGGAGATGTTCCAAATCAGGAGATGTCTCCCATTAGTATCAATACATTTGTCGCTATTTAAGTTTTTGTTTACCCATTTATTTGTCCAAATTGAATGTCCTCATAAATAATTAATTATATGTTTAGTGACTTCTATTAAAACAAATGCTAAATAGTAATGAATTAAAACAAATGAATCTATCACAATCAACCTTTAATATTCATTGCCATATTTACTGGTGGATAAAATATATACCACGATGAACATTTTTCAATAAATCACATTCTATAGCGACAAAATGGTTATACAACGTTAATGCTTTATTTTTGACATATCTCTGATCAAAATAAAATATTATTAAAATAGTAAGCGAATATTCCTTTATAAAAAAAAACACATTGAAAATTGGTATTGCACCTATCAATGTTTTCCTCCAGAATAGGGGAGGAGGTTAGGCTGAATTTTGACATTTTTTTTTTTCTTGGCATATCACCATTTTAGGGATCATTCAGATGTTAAGGGCCTTTATCGAACATTTCGTAGACAGAGAAAAATCATACGAGAAACGGTAAGAAGAAACATTGAAAGACGATATGGAGATAATATGAAGGTAAGGTATGAGGCTTTATTATTTTTAATTCTTATATATGGTAGAACATTACATAAAACATATAATCTCAATGCGCTTTACAAAAATAAAGTTATAAAAAATACATTATTTAGAAAAATAACATTACATTCAAAACCTGATAAAAACACATCGTTGTACTTATGTACTATGGTAATCTACTTGTATATGGTAAAGATGAGTTTTTAGTTGAGACTTGAAAGCAGACAAAGTGGGTACATGTACAAGGCAAATAGCTCTGGGAACTGCTTGGGTGCAGCAACCAAAAATGCCCTCTTTCCGTTAATGCTCTTGTTTATGACCGGGGTTCAAATAACCTTATAGTGGATGAAGAATGAGTTTGCCGAACTGGAATAGTAATGAGGTCGGATAGATGGTGCTTCATTGTGTAAAATCTTGTATACAAACATTAAAACCTTAAAAACAATACACTGGGAAACTAATAACCAGTGAAGAATTATGTGCTCATGTTTACGTGAAAGGGTAACCCATTGAGCTGCAGAATTTTGAATACGTTGAAGGTGGGCAATTAGATAATTAGGAAGATGGATATATATAGATTATTACAATAATCCAATCTAGAGCTTATAAAAGCTTAATCTTTTCAGGGCATCATCAGTTAATAAAGTTAATAATTTTTTAAACATGATACATTATATTAATGATATAGAAATAATATGAAGGTATTGTACATAATACATGCAACTTTATCCCTTCAGTGCTGGGTTGGACACGAAATGTAAAAGTTGACGTCAAAACCTGGGGAGGTTAACAAAATCATTTAAAAGTAATCGATTATTAAACATTATTGAAATATGATATGGAGAAAATATGAAGGTACATTTGTATTATCCAAAAATCATTTTGTATACAATTTTAGCCCTTCAGGGTAAATGGTTAATAAAGTTAATCATTTATTATCATAAATGAAATATGATATGAAGATAATATTGTAGAAAAATAGATAGTACAAGCAACCTAATCCCAATATCCCAATATCCCTTCTGGGATAATAAAGTTAATCTGATATGGAGACATGGCTAGTCCTGTACTGAACTTGCTTGACACCTGGGAGAGGATGAGAAGGCATGTTGTGGACTATGCATAACAAATTTGTGACACATATATGTATTACATGCTAAACACTATGAGTGTTGTTAATTCATGATGTACAGTTGTTGGCACACATGTATGGTTTCAACTCAGGCGGCCCTCACAAATGACTGTGAGCCATGAGTACTGTCAAATCTGTATTAGAAGCTGAATCCCTAATAGAAGTTGCACCCATTCTTTTTGAATAATTGAGAACTAAAAATTCATCATTTCTCATATGTGTAGAGGATATAATAGAAGCCGTATCCCCTCTGTTGCATTGTACCATTTTAATAAAAGCCGAGGTTTGTTATACAGATTTTACAGTACTGCATCTTATTCTGGACATTCTTTTCGGATTGGCAATGGTTAACTTAAGAGAATACAGCTAGAAGAGTTTACACAGCTCATCTAGTTGAGCAGAAAGCCATGATGATACAGTCATCATGCCTGTAGCAGTGCATGTGTAGATATTTCTGTTCCACTAATATCTAAAGAACCAGTGTCATTAGATTTCAATGAAACATACTTTGAGGTTATTACAAAGATACCTCAAAATATGCACGAAGACAGTACAACAGGAGTATTGGCCGATGCACATCAACGGTGTACTGTCTGAGTGCATATGAGGTATCCTCGTAATAACTTATTATACATCTTTTCCTTCCAAGAATACATTGTGGGAATGCCGAAGTCCAAAATTTTTAGAACAGAGAACAGAATCAGCGAACTTCTTTGTGTGGAGTTTGGTCAAACCTTTGGTGGCAGCCATGTTTGTTTTTATTAATAGAGGATGCTTATGCACGTAATCATTTCATATTTGGAATTCGCATTTCCTAATATGATACGATGAAAATACCCTGTAAAATACCTCACGCTGTAACTAATGGCGTTACGGTGACAGATGTATAATAATGTGCTATAATTAAAAGGTATGGCTGGGGCTGAAATTCATAATTAGCACATTTATAACTTAAGATTGATTCTCTTGTATCTTAAAAACCACCATGTACATTCTAGTGGTCATTCGGGCTAAAATCTGTGTAAACTAATTAGGCAAAGAACAAACAATTCTGTGTTCATAGTATTGACAACAACAATATTAGGTAGGCAGGTAGTGTTTTAATTAATTTTTTTTCAAATTGTGCCCGTTGTGGATTTTTTTTTGCAGTCATCTACTAGTCATCCACAACACCAAGGGAAGTAAATGAACAAAGTAACTTTTGTGGGTGAATCATGGCTAATTTGCATAAAAAATAAAAGCTAAATTGGCTAATTTGCATAAAAAGAAAAAAACCAAATTGGCTAATTTGCATAAAATAAAAGTTTGGGTTATCAGAAAGATTATTTTTTTTCTCTACCTGATCTTTGTCATCAGCATATCCCCTATGTAGCCCTGCGTACAGTGCTGTGTGTACGGGGACGCGTTTGGTTGATAGATGTCCCCACCACAGCCCTGCGTACCTCCATAGACAAAGTCCGGGAGCGCACCGTAATTGGTGCGCAAGTTAAAAATAACTTTTAATAAGTAGTTTCCCAGCCGAAATCGGTTGAAATGGCGGTAGTTATCCGTAACAAGCATTACAAAGTTATCTGAAACTGAAATGTCTTTAAATAACAACTAGTAAAGACGAACAAATTGTAAACGCGTAGATACCGGAGGAATTACCCACCAAACGCCGCCATTTTTAATCTCATTCACGCGAGAGAATGCGTTTGTTTTTAGGGCAAAGTAGCCGATTTCATCCACAACTGGACTCCGAACTGGGAGTTC